ATATATATATATATCGCAGTATGACCTGTGTATGATATACATATTGCAGTATTGTCCTGTGTATGATATATATATATCGCAGTAGTGTCCTGTTTATGATATACATATTGCAGTAGTGTCCTGTGCATGATATACATATATCGCAGTATTGTCTTGTGTATGATATACATATCACAGTAGTGTCCTATGTATGATATACATATCACAGTAGTGTCCTGTGTATGATATACATATCACAGTAGTGTCCTGTGTATGATATACATATCACAGTAGTGTCCTGTGTATGATATACATATCACAGTAGTGTCCTGTGTATGATATACATATCACAGTAGTGTCCTGTGTGTGATATACATATCACAGTAGTGTCCTGTGTATGATATACATATCACAGTAGTGTCCTGTGTATGATATACATGTCACATTAGTGTCCTGTGTATGATATATATATATCGCAGTAGTGTCCTGTGTATGATATATATCACAGTAGTGTCATGTGTATGATATATATATCTCAGTAGTGTCCTTTGTGTGATATACATATCGCAGTAGTGTCCTGTGTATGATATATATATATCGCAGTAGTGTCCTGTGTATGATATACATATCACAATAGTGTCCTGTGTATGATATATATCACAGTAGTGTCATGTGTATGATATATATATTGCAGTAGTGTCATGTGTATGATATATATATCACAGTAGTGTCCTGTGTATGATATATATATCACAGTAGTGTCCTGTGTATGATATATATATTGCAGTAGTGTCCTGTGTATGATATACATATCACAGTAGTGTCCTGTGTATGATATATATCACAGTAGTGTCATGTGTATGATATATATATCAAAATAATGATTGCAATAACAAAATGATATCTTATATAGAAAAGGAAGAGGTAACAAAACAACCAATGAAAAAACGAAAAAGGCGCAGAGTCAGAGAGATGTCTGACAGTGATGATGATGATGACGAGGCTAAAGGTCAGACATTATTAAGCAGATTCACCTGAGCATTCACTTTCTTTTGCACCAATCATCACAATGTGTGCAAGTACCAAAACATATTGCATCTTCCATCACAAATATGTCAGTACCAAAAACTTTTAATACACTTGATAAAAAGACGGTATGAGTCAAATTTTAATGTGTTCAGCTTTTTTGCCATTTTTCTGAAAATGCAAAATGGCTGAAATTTTGTTATTCACAATCTTGGTAGACTTATATCAATGATGTACAACCAAAAATTCAGATTGGCTAGGCCTTTGGAAAGGGTTCAAAATGGCTACTTCAATTCAAGATGAACTGTCATTCATTATGGTGTAATAAAAATATTATTATTATTATCTATGCACATATTAAAATGATGTTGATGCATCACAAATGCTTACTCTTCTGAAGACGCATTATTTGATTGATCCATAGAAGTGGTTGAGGAGAAACCATCAGAGACCACGGTCAAACATGATGCTGGTAATATTAGTGGACATTACAAGAAAAAAAGGAGAGTTTTGAAATCTAAGACCTTCATGGATGATGATGGATGTATGGGTAAGTACTTATCATCTTTCTCGCTCATAAATAGTCAGTTTTTTACTTGAGGTGTCATTTAGTCATTATGAATATACTGTACATGTAATTCAAGAATGCTTCTATATAACAGCTTTGTCCTGGAAAATATACACTCTCACCATAATTTTAATGTAAATACATGGAAACATAATGAATGTCACCTTTGGAATAAAGTTCAAAAACAATTGACCCACTATGTTTCTGACATGCTTGAACAGATCATGCTCCGATTTAAAAAATACATAATGTATTCTGTTACACCATAGACTTTAGAAAAAGAAGGACAGGCAACTATAGTATTTCTTTTGTTTTAACCTGGGTTAACCATCTGTTTATTTGCACTGTCGGCAGCACTCATGAAATCGCGTAAAACGCGCGAGTGCCCCTGCGTGACTACAGAAGCGACGGCCTTGAATATGCTAATTTTTCGACTTTTGTAAAGCAATTTACCAACTAAAATCCCCTAATGGCTTTGAAAATAAAACAATTCAAGTAAAAAATGCAATAATTTAAACAACAGAAATCGGGTGAAATTACAGCGATCTAAAACAAACCAGGTCAGCCATTTCCGATGTAAGCCGACTTTCACACATTTTCAAACGGTTTAGAAAATTAGTAATTTTGAATTTTGTAAAGCAAGTCATCAAATTAAAATACCCTGATTACTTCGAAAATAGCACGACTCAAGTAAAAAAACACAATAATTTGAACAACAGATGTTTTATTTTTGAGAAATCGGGCGAAAATCTGTCCAGAAGGCCATTCAGACAGTTCAGAAATTTCAGAATTATGACTTCAAAATATAGACTAGCAAAACTAAAATACGCGGATATCCTTGAAAATAGTATGATTTAAGTGATAATATGATAATGCAAAAAAAACTGTTTTTATTTTCCTGGAAATGTGGCAGTCGCAGGATACTAGTAAGTATTAGTCAACCATTCACTGCACAAAAAATCAGCCGAGTAGTTAATATATAATAATGAAAAAAACAAATTGTAACTCATATTAAGGTAGCGGGACTATTATTTGCTTACTTGTTTTCATCTTCTAATTGTGACCAAATGACTACAAATAGACCCAGGAAAGTATATATTTTTAGAATCACCAGACTTCAAGCTTTGCAAAGGTGTGTTTGCCATGCCCGTATCTGCATTCTATGACCCGTTACTTAATAAAAGGTGAAAAATTACTTTTTCTGTAAAAAAATAATTACGCATTTATGCTGGCGATAAGAAGTATTTTTGTCACTTTTCCTAGTTGTTCAATAGTCTGGTAAATTGAATGTGTC